GCTCATGCTGCCAACGTCTTTCTTTCAGTGAGTCTCAAAGGGGCTACAGGAGCTCTCTTGCCTCATTATCCTACGGCTGTTATTGAAAGTAAAATGAATAAATCTCTTTTTTTATGCTTGCACAAGATATGTGTGTGGGGTGTGTGTGTCATTTTTCTTTTGGGTTCTTTCCATGTCATACATATTCAAAGTAAATTTACCCCCCCTTCCCCCTTTTTTCTTCTTGCACAAAATTGTGTGTGTGTGTGTGTGTGTGTGTGTGTGTGTGTAGGGAGGGGGGTCATTTTGAGTTCTTTCCGTCTTATACTGTTATTTAAAGTAAAACCAATCCCCCTTTCTCCCTTTTTTCCTTCTTGCACAAAGTGTGTGTGTGTATGGGATTGTGTGTCATTTTTCTTTTGAGTTCTATTCATCTTATACTGTTGTTTAAACTAAAATAACCCCCCTTTCCCCTTTTTTCTTCTTGCACAAAGTGTGTGTGTGTGGAGAGTGGGGGGGGGGTTTGTCATTTTTCTTTTGAGTTCTTTCCATCGTATACTGTTATTTAAATCTCCCTTTCCCCCTCTTTTCTTCTTGCACTAAGTGTGTGTGCAACCACTATTGACAACTGAAGCCATTCCTGCTTTTCAAGGTAATTTTCAAGGTAATTGGGATGTCACTACCAAGCCAGGTGTTTTGGTGGAGAGACCTGATTTGCAGAAGCCGAGAATGTAACGCTGTACAAATTAAGCATCGCCTTTTGAGTTTTTCCCCCCTAAAATAAAATAAATAAAAATCTTTTCAAACCCAAAACTGCTTAAATGGTTAATGTTGGCTTAAAAGGATGACCTTCGGCAAGCCAAGAGGGTTGAGAAGCCAGAGGAGGGGTTAAGAAATAACTTCCAAAGCAGGAAATTGGGTAATGAGGTTAAACTCAACAAGGAGGAAGACAGGGCTGTCAGGAGAGATGGGAGCCTAGAGAGAGAAAAGAGGGACTGGCAGGAAAGCTGTGATTTGCCTCAATACAAAGCGGGAATGATTAGAAAGAAAACCCTCAGCTGGGATGGGGGAGAAAGCAAGGGCTGGCGAATGGGGCTCCTCGCTG